CCCTTTCTATGTCATCTCCGCTTCAGTGAGATTTCTCGAAAAAAAAAAACAATGTCGTCGCAAGACGAAGGTTCGAGAGATACTTTCCATTAACTTCTATACCTTACTCGCTCCCATGATCTCATCACTCAATGCGAGGAAATAGTAAACAGCCTTGGCGACACGATGTCCGTTTATCGAGTCGCCTTCGGAAACGCGGGCGTTAGAAAAGCAGTACAATTGTAGAGCAGGTTTTGTAGCAGTCGCCAATAAACGTAAGATGAGTCCATCCCTTGGTCGACGAGAGCTAACGGTATTAGTTTTGACACTATCAAACGCCTTCTCATAGTCGAAGAAGTAGGACGAGAGAAAGGCGACACTCTTGGCCAGCCTTGATAATTCTTGAAACTGTCTAATGGATTCACGCAGCTGAATTATTTGCGAAACTTGTTCTACAAGTTAGGCTTCATCGAGTGCCTTGATATTTGGGAGATTAATCTTCGTGAAAGCTTGCAAAGCATCCTTAGCAGGCATATTGGATGGTAGTCCAAAGATCCTCTTTATCTTTATGAAAGGAGATTCTTTGAGAGATTCTTCATTGGCTGAGGATCCTTTCTTTTGGAAGGTAAGATATGTGCGCCGCAACTATCTCGTGTAGGCGATGTCCTCCAGCTTATAAGAAGTCGGCCGAAACATGGTTCAGTCCCAGAGCCGCAACCTTCATAGTCTCGCATACTGAAGCAGGTAGATGCCGTGATGGTATTTTTCCAATAAGTATATATAACGGGGTGTAGCGCGGATGTTGATAAGCAAAAGAGATTAACGTAGAATCTTTTTGTGATCGACTTCCCATCTGTTAGGAAGATGTGCGAGCTTTATCGTTAAGTGTACTTTGAAGATCTTCTTCCAAACTTTTCTGCGCCTGGTATTAATACCAGTCGGACCCACCACCACTGCTCCGTTTAAGCAGATATTTGATGGCTTTCAAATTGCGTTCCAAGCTCATTGTTGGGGCATGAGGCATTCCCACCACAGGCTCTTAGTCCTCCAAAAGCAGGCCGTACTCGTTGAGTACTCTGCATGGGCCAGAAACAAGTAGTCAGAAGTATCGCCAATCTGACGCAGTCATATAGACTTCTCCCCTTTCTCAAAAACAGTGACAGATATTCTTTTCCAGCTTTCGGCTGAATCGCACTTTTGTTCGAGGGAG